CTGCCATTTTCAATAAAACTGGTAAGTGCTAATATCTCCTTAGTTTTAAATATGTTTTAGCCAAATGGTTGTAGGTTTAAATGTGTATATATATTTTTTCAAAAGCAGCCTGATCATTTGATCAGGTTTCTTTGTGGGGGAGAGGGAAAGGGAAGGAAAGGAAAGGAAGAAGAAAAGCAAGGGAAGGAAATAAAGAAGAAAGAAAAATTAGGGAAAGGAAAGGGGGGAGGGGAGGGGAGAGCCTTGTCTATTTTATTAAATGTATTTGCATTCATATAAAGGTTTGCTTTAGAGGGACGTGGTGGCTCAGTGGCTAAGACGCTGAGCTTGTCGATCAAAAGGTCAGCAGTTCAGCGGTTCAAATCCCTAGTGCCGCGTAACGGGGTGAGCTCCGTTACTTGTCCCAGCTTCTGCCAACCTAGCAGTTCGAAAGCACGTAAAAAATGCGAGTAGAAAAATAGGGACCACCTTTGGTGGGAAGGTAACAGCGTTCTGTGCGCCTTTGGCGTTTAGTCATGCCGGCCACATGACCACGGAGACGTCTTGGGACAGCGCTGGCTCTTCGGCTTTGAAACGGAGATAAGAACCGCCCCCTAGAGTCGGGAACAACTAGCACATATGTGCAAGGGGAACCTTTACCTTTACCTCAAAGGTTTGCTAACTCCATAGAAATATGGTCCACTCCTTTTCTTGAGAAGTGGCTTTGGGATAACCTAAGAGAGTAGTTCAGTGAGGCAAACCAACTCCTCCTATATATGTTTAAATTATATGTTGAAATCTAGAACAAAAATGCAAACAGAGCATAATAGTTGTTGTTGTTTTAATCATTACAGCCACAACATGGGCTTGCTCCTATTGTTTTAGTTTGTGTTGATGAAGAAGTGAATCAGCCTTCTGTTTTGTGAAAATCATGGGGATTGGTGGTTAAGTCTCGAGGACTCCCTTTGCAGGCAGTCTGCTGGGGGACTTGGTTGGGAAATTGGTCGGCCGCTAGGAGAACAGGCTGCTGAACTACATGGACCAGCAGGTTAATCCATCAGGGCACAGTTTATATTCTTGTGTAAGGATATAGCTGCTTGCTAAATCCCATTTTGTTTTCTTGCCTTCAAAGACAGATAAAGGAAAGGGTTGTTATCTGTGCACCATTGTTCTTTCTCTTTGTAATTTTTCTCTTTGCCTTATTATCTTTTCCTCCACCCCACAGGTCCAGGGAGTAAGTACTAAAAGCTGGCGAGATATGACCACTTTTTTTTCTGGAAAACCAGATGGGTCCTCTGAAAGGTATGGTGGATGTGTCTGCTCAGGTTTTGTACTAGATACACAACTCTCTGACATATTACTTGTAAATAAGGTCCCGGCGATCTCAAAAAGAATATGTTCCCTCATGAACCTAGGTCAGTGTTTCTGAACACTTGAAGATCTGTGGACTTCAACTCCCAGAATTCCTCAGCCAGTTTTAAAAATAAACTTTTAGTGCTTTGAACTCAACTCCTGTTCTTGGTTACTTGTGCCTGATATAGGAGATAACCAGGCTGAGCCCGAGGGAGAGGTCAAACATGTCATGAGTCTATGTGGACCTGCAGTCGATCTAAGTGCAGTTTACCTTGAATGCCTTCTTATCTCCCGCTCATTTCCCTTGACTTCTAGTTGGTCAGATTCTTGTAGAGAGCTTAAGTTTGCAGTAAATCTTTATACCCATTTGATCTGCCTGATTTCCCTCGACACCTGGCACTAATCAAAAGTTTATTACGTGCAATCTGTACATAAGAATCTTATGAAACCAAATTGGTGCTAAGATAAGAGTCAATGGAATTCATGGGAGACTGGACTTGGGTTTCTGGTGGGAACATAGTGACACCAAACTAATGATGCGTTTGAAGCTGCCCTCGGGTTCTGACTGCTCGTCTCCTTCAATGTCACGGAAATTATTTCACTCTAATGTTGTCATGATGCCCACTCCAGCTCCGTGAATGGGGAAAACGTCGCGAAACATCACATGACTGCAACGTGACGCAGCGAGTTTGACACCTGTGTTCTAGAGGATAAGGTTTCCAGCTAAGATACCATTAAAAACTGATTTAGGTACCATTAAAAACTGGTTCATTTCTTAATCAGATTTTGAAGCTGTGCAAACCCTGAGCCATGTTGGAGAGAGAACAATTTAGGGAGGAGGTTAGCAAATCTGATAACAACCTAAAATATCCTGGGATCACATTTTTATAAATATTACTTTTTTAAAAAATGCAGGTTTTTTTTTTTTCAAAACATCCAGATTACTTTCACAAGCTTTATCTCCAAATAGAGGTAGTCCTTGACTTAATTTTTTTCATTTAGTGACCACTCAGAGTTACAATACCACTGAAAAAAGTGACTGATCCTCGCACTTCTGACCATTACAGCAACCCCACCGTCATGTAATCAAAATTTGGGTAGCGGTTTGGCAAACAACACATATTTAAAATGGTTGCAACGTCCCAGCATAATTCGATCACGGTTTGTGGCCTTCCCAGCTGGCTTCCAACAAGCAAAGTCATGGAGTGAACTCGGATTCAATTAACATTTTTTCACTTAATAACCACGGCAAAAAAAAAGGCTGTAACATAGGGTTTGAGTCACTATCTTGATTACCAGAGTAAATTCTAGTCCTGGTTGTGATCGTAAAATCAAGAAATACCTGTACAGGTAGTCCTCGACTTACAACCATTTGTTTAGTGACTGTTCAAAGTTACAATGGCCCTGAAAAAAGTGAGTTAGGACCATTTTTCACACTTACGACCACTGCAGCATCCCCAGTGGTCACGGGATCAAAATTCAGAAGTTTGGCAACTGACTCATCTTTATGACGCTTGCAACGTCCCGGGGTTATGTGATCCCCTTTTGCAACCTTTTCCTTCAAGCAAAGTCTGGAGAAGCCAGATTCACTTAACAACTGTTAAGTGATTCACTTAGTGCATCTTAACTTCACTGCAGTGATTCACTTAGCAACTGTAGCAAGAAAGCTGGCAAAATGGGTCAAAACTCACTTAACAAATGTCTCACTTAACAAATGTCTCAGCATCATCAATTTTGAGCTCAATTGTAGTCAAGAACTACCTGTACCATTTCAGAGAAATGGCTGCCCAGTCTCTTCTTAAAAACTTCCAGCGTTGGAGCATTCAGGGAGCCTGGATAGCTCAACAGACAGAGCTCTGTAATTTAACACCAGCTATCTGCATCCAATTAAAGTAAGATTGAATCTCCCCAGGCTCAAGGTTGACTCAGCCTTCCATCCTTTCTAAGGTAGGTAAATTGAGGATCCAGTTTGTGGGGGCAATAAGCTGACTTTGTATAAATATACAAAAGGATGAAGGCTATTGCTTAACGCATTGTAAGCCGCCCTGAGTCTCTGGAGAAGGGCGGCATATAAATCAAATTTAAAAAAAAAAAAAATTCACAACTTTTGGAGGCAAATCGTTCCACCGATTAATTGTTCTCACTGTCAGGAAATTCCTCCTTAGTTCTAGGTTGCTTCTCTCCTTGATGACTTTCCATTGAACTAACCCTAAGTCCCTATTTTTCTCTCCTCTCCTTTTCCGAAAGGCCCCCGGATACAGAGAGCTACCAGAACAGTAAAAGCGACGGCTACCAGAACAACACCGCGGAGCAGAGCTTTTGGGAGACCTTCGGCAATTCAGACCCACCCAAAACCCACAAGTCCCCAAGCAGCGATAGCTGGACGTACGTGGACAATTCGATGGAGAAGAAGAGCTCCGACAGCTGGGATGTTTGGGGCTCAGGTACCGTTTCCAACAACAAGAACAGTAATGGTGACAGCTGGGAAAACTGGGAGACCAACTGGGAGAACGCCGCCGGGGAGGGCAAAGCCAAAAAGACTGCCAAGAAGACCCCTAAAGAAGCCACTTCAGCTCCTGAAGACGAATGGGACAATCACAACTGGTAGGACTCGTTCTCTCACCAGTATAGCGGAAGTCGGGGTGGGGGGAGGGGAAAATATCACACCTCCGATGGAAGAATCTCCCACATAACTGGACTAACCGACATCCTTCGACGGGAGCCTCTTTAAACCCCGCGCCTGCTGTTCCATTCTCTTTCCACTTCCTGTTTACAACCACCGTCGTATCAAAAAAAACCAAAACCACGTGAGTTTGCGGATTCTTGTAATTACCATACGAAGAGCCAAATCACCGTCACGGAAATGACCGTCGCGTCAGTTATATCCTCGCCGTGGGGTTTGCCCAGCTTCCTTAAAACCTGAGAATCTTCTGGAAGAAGCAACTCCATGCCAGCCTACCATCCCAGCACAACGTTCGCATGTGTCGTTCGGCATACTCGCACAACATCTTTTGGGGGGGGGGACTTCGGCTGATGTTTCGGAGGACTTCTGGGTAGTCTTGATACGTGGGGCGGGGTGGGTGGGTAGGGAGGGCTATTTTAGCCAAGTAACATATTGTGACAGAGATGGGATGGCTTGCAATTGAGCCAAAATATATTATTTAAGATATTGTAGAAGAAATTGTAGATGGATCCAAGTTTATTTAAGGGTGTTTTTTTGTTTGTTTGTTTTTAAGGACGCTGTCCGCTTAATAACTTCAGTTACTTAGAAGGAAACAAACAGCATTTCTAAAAGCTTTTTTTTAAAAAAAAAAATCCCGTTCTTAGCTTTAGCTGCTTTCAACAGGTGTGTGTAAGATTCCTCATCCTTTCTTCTTTTTTCCCCCACACCCTTATACATTAAATTAAATCTCCTGTATTTTTTTTTTCTCCATTTAAGGTTCCATACGTTCCTCAATTTTAGCATAATTGCTGGATACAAACAATGAAGGAAAAACAGACAGGATAGGTGACAATTTTTCAAAACGGGACCCGCCAATGTCAAAAGCGAACATTTTTTTATAACCAAACAAATAATTTGGAACTTCGCTCTTATAAAATTTCGTTTATAAGATTCCGCGTTAGATTTCCAGCTTACTCTTTCCCTTCCGCTCCCCCCTGTGCCCGGAAGGAGACTACTGAAAAATAACCCGATTGCAATGTTTATCATTCTGAGCTATGCTGCATGAATTTGAGAAGAAGAAGAAGAAAAAAAAAAGTATCCAGTATCCTTTTCTACAAGGTCTGATGTCAATTCTGTTTTTGGTGCTTGTGATCAGTTAGATTGTTTTTTTTTTAAAAAAATAATCTATGTGTATTTAAATACTGCAGTGTTAGACCACTAAGACGCAGGAAACACTGAATCGTGGTATAATTGGCTGGATGTCACAACGAGGCTTTTCAGGAACCAGGATGAAAATCTGGTGTCTTTATCTAAGAAAAACCTTTGGCTTGGCTAATGAACTGTGTGATTTCTGAGCGCCTGGATACTTGGAACGTCCAGTTTCTCAGAATTTAGCTGAAATCGTCTGCTGTATATAAACTGTGTGTGTGTATATCAGGGCACATGGGTAAACACACGGAGATCATGAAGTATTAATAGTTTCCTACAATTTTTATGTAATGTTCAATATGTCAGTATCTTATCTTGTGAAGAAATATGAAGTACTTGATCTGATTGTGTGGTACTTTTCGCTGGTTTTTTTTTTTTTAATTGCTAGCAAAATTTCTCCTCTTCTCTGGTGATTTTTGCTTCCCCGGTCTCTGGTCCCAGTTTTCATTCCCTTTGGGCTTTCTAATCAGACTAAGGTGGTTAGGTTGTCTGTGCCTCTTTTCAAGAATATGCTTTCTTTTTTTCTGCCAAACTTTGGAGATTTTGTGACCTCATAAAAACCGCACCTTACTTTCTGTTTTCTTTTTTAAAAAAGTGTGTCTCAGCATAGAGTTGGCTATTTCTTTGGCTGATTTGTCCGTTTTTCCTAGCGGCACGTGAGTTTTTATTTTTCTTCATTTTCTGTTTCCTGGATTTCTCTTAGAAACTTCATCGTGTATTTTGCGTGGGAGAGCGAGCATCGGTTTCTACCTTAATTTTGCTCATCTACTCTATATGCTGTTTAAAAATCATTGAGCTATGGAATTCAAGGACATACTTGAACTCGCTGTCTCTCTTAATGTATATTTTACCTCACAGAAGATTTCTTCATCTCCTTAAACCAGCATTTCTCAACCTTGGCAAGTTTAAGATGGGCATGGACTTCAACTCTCAGGAGAGCAGAGCTGGCTGGGGAATTCTGGGAGTTGAAGTCCACCCATCTTAAATTTGCCACGGTTGAGAAACATTGTCCTAAACTCCTTGCATAAAAACATATTTATTTTTAAAGCACCCAATTCTGGGTTATAGCCAGGGTGGATAAAAATCAATGATTTTTTTAAAAAAAATCAAAAAAATCAGATTTTTTTTATTTAAATTGGATTTTTTTGATTTTTATCGAATTTATTTTAATAAAAAACTTTTGGGGTCAAAATCTATCGTAAGATAGTTTTCTATTTAAGATACATAAATAATTTAGTTTATTCAGCATGAAATGGAGCTTAGTTATGTAGCACGAGGCTGTATATTCTGCAACACTGGGACTATCGGTGAGTCAACAGTGGGTCAAAGGAGTAGCAGAGATGACAGCTGCTCTTTAAAAATTATGATTTAAATCGAGTTGATTTAAATCAAGCCTTTTTACTAGTGATTTAAATAATGATTTAAATTGTGATTTAAATCAACTTGATTTAAATCAAATCCACCCTGGTTACACTTAGCGGTTTCTCAGTTCTGTAGCTTGCTGCCTCTATGGAAGAAAAGGCACCACTCTTGATGTCATAAGAAATGCATCATAGGTTTCCAAGATAGTTCTTTTTCATAGCCACCTACCATAGCAACACTTCGATCAACAAAATCTTTTTAAGAAATTGAGTTATAAATAGATAAACCAGAGATCCGAGTTATCAAATTTCAAATTTAATCGTACGGGATTTCCCAAGTGGCCTACATAACCAAGTGACATGTATTTGAACCTATCTTATTTATTTATTTATTTTGTGACATTATTGGAGGAGAGAAAAAAAAAAAAACCTAGGGGTTTTTGCTACTATAATTCTATGTAGCAGGTGTCAGCAACCTGTGGCTCCAGAGCCGCATATGGCTCTTTGGGCCCTCTGCTGTGGCTCCCTGTCGGGTGATCTCACCACTGGCTGGCCCCTCCCCTCCCAGTCACTCCTCGCCTGGCCTGAGGTAAGGGCGATGGCGGGGGATGGAGAAGCAGGCGAGGCAGAGACAGAGAGATTACAGAAGAGAGGGGGAGGGAGGGAGAGAGAGATGTGAAAAGGGTTTTGTGGTTCTCGGTGTTTTTTAACAACCAGTTCTCTGCCCTAATGACAAGCTGGGTAGGCGTGGCTAGGGAGTGATCATGTGACTGGTGGAAATGAATGACATTGAGTTGGCCACGCCCACCCAGGTTTTGTGGCTCACCATGTTTTCTGTGGGAAACAGGTCCAAATGGCTCTTTGAGTGCTTAAGGTTGCAGACCCCTGCTATATAGTAAAGAGAGCAATTTAAGTAGGATCATCTACCTTGGAGTTAAGAAATAGACGCTGCAGAGCTCTTCTGCATGGCTCGCGATTTATATCTTCAGTTTAGTACAGTAAAGAAACTCTGATTCAGCCTTCCCCGGCCTCACGCCCTCCAGATAGCTATCCGGTGTTCGTTGGGCTGTAGCGGAAATTGGTTTAACTCCGCCAGAAGGCGTTAAATTACGGAAGGCTGCCGTCAAACTCGACTGAAACCAAAACCCGACATCGGTATGTTTCCGAACCGTTTTCTTCCATTGCACGTTGCTGAGAATGCAACCCTGTATATAGAGCTAGAGTTGATGACTTGAGATCTCTCATTTATACTCTTGCTGCGGTCTCTTTAATTTCCCTTAAAATTCTCCCATCTTTTCCCTGTCTTCCATGGTAGGCATTTATATGTATGGCTGTAGTCATTCGTACAATAACTCCCCATGTCAGGGAGCGTCCTCCACTTAATTGAATCCCGAAAGGAAGATATTGAAGTGTACCTAATATCACGTCCGTGAGCTCGATTGGGAAATCAGAAACGCTTCATAGAAGCACAGTGGTGGCAAACCTTCTATTTTCCGCACTAAGGTTTAAATCTGGCAAATTCTGGGAGTTGAAGGCCACAAGTCTTAAAGCTGCCAAGTTTGAAGACCTCTGGTTTAAATGAATGGAAATGGTAGGCCTCCATCTCTAGAAGATGCAGGATGTTCAAGGGTCAAAGCTTTTGACAAATGTAACTAGATCTTAACCTCCTTCCTCTCCTGGTTGGAATAACTGGTCAGTAGATTTTTTTTTTGTTCTGTTTCTTTTTCAGAAGAAAGCTGGGTTGTGGGATATATGCGATTCTTTCCGACTGTACAGTTTTGACAGTCCTTCGCAAAGGGCTGCTGAGTTATGTTCCTTTGTTTTGCAAAACGGTACTGAACCTGAGCCGACAGTGTCATCTCAAAGAGAAACAATAAAGTCAGAGAAATGGAACAAAGCCATTCCGACATCCTCATAAGTGGCTTCACGTTGCTTTGACATTCACGTTTGCATTTTGCACAGAAATGTGAGTTGCATCGGTGGGAGCTTCCATGTTCTTTTTGGTTTGGGTTTGTCTCTAAGCAGGGACGCGGTGGCTCAGTGGCTAAGACGCTGAGCTTGTCGATCGAAAGTTCAGCGGTTTGAATCCCTAGTGCTGCGTAACGGGCTGAGCTCCCGTGACTTGTCTCAGCTTCTGCCAACCTAGCACTTCGAAAGCACGTAAAAAATGCAAGTAGAAAAATAGGGACCACCTTTGGTGGGAAGGTAACAGCGCTCCGTGCACCTTTGGCATTGAGTCATGCCGGCCACATGACCACGGAGACGTCTTCAGACAGCGCTGGCTCTTCGGCTTTGAAATGGAGATGAGCACTGCCCCCTAGAGTCAGGAACAGCTAGCACATATGTGCAAGGAGAACCTTTATCTTTACCTTGTCCCTAACCTCAATCTTGGTTAATGCATTAGGCCTTTGTTTGTTTGTTTTTTGGGTATTGACTTTATTATTTTTCCAAATAATTCAAGGTGGCAAACGTATCCAGCACACCTTCCCCTTTCTCTTTGCTCCACAACAACAACCCTGTGAGGTGGGTTGGGGCCGAGAGAGAGTGACTGGCCCAAAGTCACCCAGCCGGCTTTCATGCCTAAAGCGGGATTAGAACTTGCACTCTCCAAGTGATTGGCCCAAAGTCAACCAATTGGTTTTCATGACGAAAGGGGGACTAGAACTCTCCGTCTCCTGGTGATTGGCCCAAAGTCACCCAGATGGCTTTCATGGCTAAGGTGGGACTAGAATTCACCGTCTCCCGCTTTCTAGCATTAATAACTTGACAAAACGGGATCTCCACTTGAGAAGGAAGGGGTGTTCTCCAATAAAACAATTGTCTTGCATTGGAAAAAAAATAACCTCATAGCAACTTTACAAGATGTAGTGTTGGTTGTATGCCAAGTTGAGGACAGGCTCTGGGAGATTTTGCAGACCCATAAGCTGAGGAGACTTTAGAAGATCGGCTTACGAAGAGAATTTGAAAAAAAAAAATCCACTAAAAAATAAAATAAAATCGCAAGGTGACGATACGCCTCCCGCTTTCAAATACCATCGATGGTTTCTAAAAGTTGGTGGAGGGATAATTCAACCTGTTCTGAAAATTTAGACCAGTGTTTCTCAACCTTGGCAACTTGAAGATGAATGGACTTCAACTCCCAGAATTCCCCAGCCAGCTATGCTGGCTGGGGAATTCTGGGAATTGAAGTCCATTCATCTTCAAGTTGCCAAGGTTGAGAAACACTGATTTAGACCAACTTATAAGATGAACCTACCCCACTGTATATCGAGGGGGGCTGTGTGGAGAGGGTTTCTTCTTTTAAATTCTTGGAGGTGCTTATTAGTCAAAATCTCACCTGGAAAAACAACACGTCCCTTGGTGATTGGCAAGGCCCAAAAGAGACTTCATTTCCTTAGAGTCCTGCGACAAAATCAGGTGGAACAACAGCTGATGACCTCTTTCTATCGGTCCACGATAGAAAGCGTCCTCACGTACTGCATTGAAGTACGGTACGCTGGTTTAACTGCTGCGGACAGGAAGGCACTACAGAGAGTGATCAATTCGGCACAAGAAATCATTGGTCGCACTCTTAACACACCACTGGATGACATCGCCAGGTCTCTCGCTGCTTTAGCAGACTAAGGCAGATACTCAGAGATGATTCATACCCTGGTCTGTGTCTCTTCGCACTTCTACCATCAGGCAGAAGACATCGAAGCATAGCCAGCCGAACAAATAGGTTTAATAATAGTATCTATCCTTGGGCCACAATCACTCCACGCACACGCAGAAATGTATGACTAGTTTTTCTTTTTTCCCTAATGACTTGCATAGGGATTATTCTTTATACTATTTTATGTTGTTTGTATTTTTTTTTGTCATGGATTGCACCAGTGAGTCTAAAACCAATTTTGTTGTATAGATGATGTACAATGACAATAAAGGCTATACTATAAGATGTGTGGACTTGCTAGTCTGGACTTCTGGGAGTAGATGTCCAGACAAGGTAGAGAAACGTTGGCTTAGACTAAGCTTTGTGAAAACAAACACATTTCCCCGGATTATATTCAATAAACATTTGGTGGACTAGAGAGTGCTTATTTTTAATGGTAGAGAAGGCCATTAAAAAGTAGCGATCCTAACTTGTGAAATAAGATTAATTGTGAAATAAAAGTAATAAAATTAACTGCAGCAGGCATGATAGTAGTAGTCCAGAATTTGAGTGTCTGCCACAAAGAGGAGGGGACGACCTATTTTCCAAAGCACCTGAAGGGAGAAGGTAATTGATGGAAAACAATGAAGGAGAGAAGCAATCTACAACTCAGGAGGATTTTCCTAACAGTGAGAACAATCAACCAATTTACAATGAACACAACTTGCCTCCAGAAGTGGTGGGTGCTCCATCGATGAAGGTTTTTCTGGAAAGAAACAAACTTAGTTTTTCCTCTAGCCACAAGAGGGTGTCTCTTTACCATCCTAACATTTCCTCTAGTCTTAAGTCACATACGTCTATGTCAGGGGTCTCCAACCTTGACTTGTGGACTTCAACTCCCAGAATTCAACCCAGCAAAGCTGGCTGAGGTATTCTGGGAGCTGAAGTCCACAAGTCTTAAAGTGGCCAAGGGTTGATGCATGTTTGGAATTTTCAAGGAAGACCCCTGAACTCGAGTCAAAACAATCAGCGGAATGGCTCGTCTCCAGAAGTTGTGGATGCTCCATCACTGGTGGTTTTCAAGAAGAGACTGGACATCCATGGAGTGGTAGAGGGTCTACTGCTTGAGCAGGGGGTTGTACTGGAAGACCTCCCAAGGACCGTTTCAGCCCTATTATTCTAGGTTCACATCAGGGGATTCATACATTGTTTTAAATTTATCTTTACTTTTAGGAACACATGGAGGCCCACCAGTTAAGTGGGATAAGCCAATCCTGTTAAAATGAGGCTGAGGATAAAATCATAGTGGGTGGTAGAATCGTGATATCATAAGTTTCACTCAAATGGCACAGAAGGGCCTTGGCAGTTATGTTCTCTCTCTCTCCCTCTCTCTCTCTCTCTCTCTCTCTCTCCCTCCCTCCCTCCCTCTCTATCTATCTATAGTATATCTATCTATAGTATCTCTATCTACCTATCTCTACCTATCTATCTATATCTACCTATCTATCTACCTACCTATCTATCTATACCACCTTTATTTTACAAATAAGATGGCGAACATATCCAACATACCTTTGTCTCCTATTTTCCCACAACAACAACCCTGTGAGGTGAGTTCAGCTGAGACCAATGTGACTGGCCAAAAGTCACCCAGCTAGCTTTCATGACTTAAGGCAGGACTAGAACTCCCAGCCTCCTGGTGATTGGCCCAAAGTCACCCTGGGCTAAGGCGAGACTAGAACTCCCAGTCTCCCACTTTCTAGCCTGGTGCCTTCACCACTAGGCCAAATGGACCACCATCCACCAAGTGGGTTCCACCCACTACGGTCATCAGAACTGCTGTCTTTGTCGCTGTGGCACCTGGTTGACTCACAACTGTGCTTTATCAAACTGAAGGATGAGGAACAACTATTTTTCATTGCATATTCCGATTCCTGCGTTTTAGTCTCCGGTTCATCCGGAGTATTTTGTGTTGCTTGGATAAAAAGTGTGGTTTTGTCCTTACTGGTGGAGGCCTGTGATCTGTTAATATTAGTGTTCTGGCAAGGATCACACCAACAAGATCCTGCTGGCTTTGACAGCTACCGCCCTTAACGTAATTAGTGCATTCATCATCTCATTTGTTGCTACTGTTTTATGCTGTTTTGGCTCTTGCTATCACAATGACATACACATTGGCTCGTAATGGGCTGAGTTTGAGCCAAAGCTTTCCTGAACTTACCCATCCCACTATGAAGTCCACCCTTCAATGTTTAGAAGATACACGGAGTCCTTGGTGCTCTCTGAGCTTGGTTATTTGCAGACGTTTCGCTACCCGACTAGGTAACATCATCAGTGATTTTGTATGTGGGGGTGTGCTCCTTATATAGCTTACTTATATAGCTTACTCTGTCAGTGTTGGTGGGAAGTTGTTTTTTTCCTTGATTTGGCTGTTGTTTCCTGCTTGATGTTTGCCTAAGTTGGTATTTTTATCAACAGGCACATAGAGATAAGCCACATTTACACACCATTCAAAACAGCTAGGAAAAACGAGATTTAGGGGAACATCAGCAAGTGGACTTTTATCAGTTGCGTGAGTGGAGCTTCGCACGCGAGCACAAGCCCCTCCACTCACGTACCCTCCACTTACGCAAGTGCCTGCTGCTTCCGTGATTGGAGCTTTGTGTGCAAGCACAAGCAACCTCCCTCCGCTCGCACGCAAAGCTCCATTCATGTGATTCACAAATTGAGCTGTGCACGCAGAAGTACACTTGCAACTCACACGCGGGCCCGTGCCCAGCTCCAGGCTGGGCTGCCAACCTGGAAAGATTGGAGATCGCTGCTTTACAGCCCCCTCTCTCTCTCTCTTTTTTTAAAAATATTTTTTATTAACATACATAAATCAGAATATATTTTTTTATTTTATTTTATTTAAATTTGTATACCGCCCTTCTGGTGGACTCAGGGCGGTGCACAGCCAAGTAAAAAACATCCAATACAAAAGTTAAAAATTTAAAAGAATTATATCCTTTGGCCGAAAAATTAAGAACCTTACGACTAAAACCCATTAAACAATTAAAAATCTAATATCTCAAAAACTGGGGGGGGGGTTCACGCCAGACCTGCCTGATGGAAAAGAAAAGTTTTTAGGGCGCGGTGAAAAGGCCGGAGATTTGATATCCTCCGTATCTCCGGGGGCAAATGGTTCCATTGTGTATAACAATATACACAATACAAACAATCAACAAGTCAGCCCTCTCTAAGTGGATTACAGAATCAGCATAATGCCCCCAACAATCTTGGTCCTCATTTTACCAACCTTGGAAGGATGGAAGGCTGAGTCAACCTTGAGCCAGTGAGAATCGAACGGCTGGCAGTGGGCAGTATTTGCCTGCAATACTGCAATCTAACCACTGTGCCACCATGGCAATAGAATAGAATAGAATAGAATAGAATAGGCAAGAAACTCTATACTATTTCAGACAAGTAGGTCAATCTCTTCTTAAAAACTTCCTGTGTTGGAGCACCCACAACTTCTGGAGGCAAGCTGTTCCACTAGTTAATTGTTCTCACTGTTGGGAAATTTCTCCTTAGTTCTAAGTTGCTTCTCTCCTTGATTAGTTTCCATCCATTGCTTCTTGTCCTGCCCTCAGGTCCTTTGGAGAATAGCTGGACTCCCTCTTCTTTGTGGCAGCCCCTGAGATATTGGAACACTGCTATCATGTCTCCCCTAGTCCTTCTTTTCATCAGACTAGCAACGGAAATTTTCGGATCGATCATGGTTTTTAAGACAAGGACTATCTTGTGTCGAATGGTGAGAAGAGCCAACATGTTCCAACACAACTGATCTCGAGCTTGTCCTTCTCCTTCAGAGGGAATCTACCCTTGACCCTCAGTTCTAGTGGCTTCCAGCTAAGGCGGAGCAGCCCTGGAAGGCAAGAGGCAGAACCAGTTCCACCTCTCGGGCGTTAAGGACGGCCTTTTTCTCCCACCCTCTTCGCTTACCTCTCGGTCTTTCCTCCACCCTTCCAGGCAAAATAAGCAGCCTGCCCTTATCGCCTGTTGAAAGTGCTAACAAGAAGTTTCTGGCACGGCGCCCCGTTCTGTCCAGAAAGGCAAACACGCTGGTGGAAAGCCAGACATAGCTGCCTCTTGGCTCGCAACTCACAGTTGTTTCTCTGCACCAGAGCTGGGCTTAACCGACAGGCAGGGATGGAGAACTTGAGTAACCTCTTCAAGCAAAAGGCCACCGAGCAGCATCACAGAGCGGAGGTCATGATCGCAGGAGAACAGCTCAGGTACGTTGGGTGATCGGACAACCATTTGTCTGGCATGGCATAGGGCCCCCTGCTTGAGAGGGGTTGGACTAGAAGACCTCTAAGGTCCCTTCCAACTCCCTTCTGTAGAGATTCTCAGTCATCCAGGTCGTGGTTGTCCCAAAAGTGCTTTTTTTTTCAGGAGGCAACTGGATTTTCTTGGTTTTTTTCTTTTGAAGATGTTTCGCTTCTCAGCCGAAAAGCTTCTTCAGCTCTGACAGGATAGTGGGGAATGGAAGGATTTATATTAAACTCCAACTCTGTTGTGCTTTTATTCTGATCAAGGTTCGCTTTTTCTTTTTCTCCCGTTTTCCTTTTGGAAAAGGTCCAACTTGAGCAACATCAAGCAAAGGACTCCTTCCTTAAAGAAGGGGGGAAATTGCAAACTTCTCTAATTTATGTTTTAAGGATGATTGGCTCCCCTCTCTCTATATATCTATATATATCATCTATATCTATCTATCTATCTATCTATCTATCTATCTATCTATCTATCTATCTATCTATCATCTATCTATCTATCTATCTATCTATACCTCTCTCTCTCCCTCTCCCTCTCCCTCTCTCTATATCTATCTATCATCTATCTATCTCTATCTCTATCTCTGTCTATTTAATCTATCTATCTATCTATCTATACCTCTCTCTCTCTCTCCCTCTCCCTCTCCCTCTCTCTATATCTATCTATCATCTATCTATCTATCTATCTATCTATCTATCTATCTATCTATCTCTATCTATCTATTATCTATTATCTATCCATCATCCATCTATCTATCATCTATCAATATCTATTATCTATTATCTATCCATCATCCATCTATCTATCTATCATCTATCAATATCTATCTATCTATTATCTATTATCTATCCATCATCCATCCATCTATCAATCTATCTGTCTGTCTATCCATCCATCCATCCATCCATCCATCCATCCATCCATCCATCCACCTCTACCTCTACCTCTACCTCTACCTCTCCCTCTACCTCTCCCTCTCTCTCTCCCTCCCTCCCTCCCTCCCTCCCTCTCTCTCTCTCTCTCTCTCTCTGGCGTGAGGCTATTTTGATTGTTTACATTCAAGTAGTTTACAGGAAAACTCAATTTTGCAAGAGATTGTGGGGATGCCAAAGTCAATTTGACAATGAAAAGAAGGGCTTCTCTTTTTAAAAGCAGTTTTTTTCAACTTGGTGCTCCCAAGAGCATTGGCTAACCATGCTCAGGAATGCCAGAAGTTGAATTTCTAGCATAGTTGGCATCTGACCGACTGGGGAACGCTGTTTAAAGTTTGAGTAGATCTAAAAGTAGATCTACTCAGAGTGGGAGAAAACAGTGTTAATAATATTCCTAGTGTAGTTGACCTGGCATTCAGATTCCAAAAGAGATATGCCGTTGATTTAAAAAAAAAAAAAATCTTATGCAAAGCATTCTATTCATTTATTATTTGGCAAAGTAAGAAAATTGTGTTTCTATAATGAATTGCTGGACATCTGCCACATAATGCATTTAGCTCTGGGTTCAAGTGTCTTGCAGGATAGATAAATCTGGGGAGTGATAAAAGTTCATTTGCTGATTAACATGTTCCCCAAAAAATTCCTTTTCCTAGCTAGAAAAAATGTTGAAGTTAACATGGGAAGCCAGAAGCCCCAGTAGGAGAAACACAAAGAGCCGAAAAAGAAGAAAAACTTGGATATTTACCTATCCAAGTTGCATAACAATGTTCTTACTTCTTACTGTAATTAAATGTGAGTCCTAAATTTGAGAACAGTGCCGGTTTAGCAAGATTTGGGCATAGCCATTGGAATTGTTCCAATTCTAACGTTTTGTCATGCAGAATGGCTCCACATTATACTTTCGTGAAGGTTTATGTGCAAAAAGAATGAAATAAGGGCACTTAGGCAGGAGAAATCAAACACAGGTTGTCCAAAGCACCTGAGGGCAGGACAAGAAGCAATGGGTGGAAACTAATCAAGGAGAGAAGCAACCTAGAACTGAGGAGAAATTTCCTGACAGTTAGAACAGTTAATCAGTGGAACAACTTGCCTCCAGAAGTTGTGAATGCTTAAAAACACTGGAAGTTTTTAAGAAGATGTTGGACAACTATTTGACTGAAGTGGTGTAAGGTTTCCTGCCTAAGCAGGGGGTTGGGCTAGAAGACCTCCAAGGTCCCTTCTAACTCTGTTATTCTATTCTATTCTATTCTATTCTATTCTATTCTATTCTATTCTATTCTATTCTATTCTATTCCATTCCATTCCATTCCATTCCATTCCATTCCATTCCACTCCACTCCACTCCACTCCACTCTCTATCCTATCCTGTCCTGTCCTGTCCTGTCCCGTCCCGTCCCGTCCCGTCCCGTCCCGTCCCGTCCCGTCCCATCCCATCCCACCCCACCCCACCCCACCCCACTCCACTCCACTCCACTCCACTCTCTATCCTATCCTATCCCATCCCATCCCATCCCATCCCCTTTCTATTCTATTCTATTCTATTCTATTCTATTCTATTCTATTCTATTCTATTCTATTCTATTCTATTCTATTTATTCCATTCCATTCCATTCCACTCTCTGTTCTATTCTATTCTATTCTATTTTATTCTATTCTATTCTATTCTATTCTATTCTATTCTATTCTATTCTATTCTATTTATTCCATTCCATTCCATTCCATTCCACTCTCTATTCTATTCTATTCTATTCTATTCTATTCTATTCTATTCTATTCTATTCTATTCTATTCTATTCTATTCTATTTATTCCATTCCATTCCATTCCATTCCACTCTCTATTCTATTCTATTCTATTCTATTCTATTCTATTCTATTCTATTCTATTCTATTCTATTCTATTCTATTCTATTCTATTCTATTCTTGGTTCTGCTGTTTGCACATATCTGAAAATTCCAGAGTAGACGGCACCTGGCTCAATATTATTTCCTGTGAGAAAGGATCGAAGCGTCCTGTCAAACCACCCTTAGGTATGAGCCAGCTGTGTGGTGCAGCTGCCAAAAAGCCCAACGCGATCCTAGGTTGCATCTGTAGAAGGATAGTTTCAAGATTATGGGAAGCGATAGTACTGCTTTATACTGCACTGGTTCAGGTCACATCTGGAACACTGCATCCAGTTCTGGTCACCACGGGACAAAAATGCTGAGACCCTAGAACAGTGATGGCTAACCTTTTTGCCATCGCGTGCCAGGAGAGGGGGGGGCGGGGGGAGGGTCGCGCGCGCACGTACCCACGCGCATGAGTGCACAACCCCCTCCCCTTCCCCCCCCCCGCTCCTGGCACATGATGGCCTGGTAGGCCCGTTTTTCTTTCTTACCTGGTTCCAGATCCTCTCTGTGTATCTGGGAAGGGCGAAAACAGCCTTTCCCACTCCCTTGGAGGCCCTACGGAGGCTGAAAGGGCCCATTTCCCAACTCTCGGTGGGACAGGAATCCCATCCCATCCCATCCCATCCCATCCCACCCCACCCCACTCTCTATTCTATTCTGTTCTGTTCTGTTCTGTTCTGTTCTGTTCTGTTCTGTTCTGTTCTGTTCTATTCTGTTCTATTCTGTTCTATTCTTGGTTCTGCTGTTTGCACAGATCTGAAAATTCCAGAGTAGACGGTACCTGGCTCAATATTATTTCCTGTGAGAAAGGATCGAAGTGTCCTATCAAACCACCCCTTAGATATGAGCCAGCTGTGTGGTGCAGCTGCCAAAAAGCCCAACGCGATCCTAGGTTGCATCTGTAGAAGGATAGTTTCAAGATTATGGGAAGCGATAGTACTGCTTTATACTGCACTGGTTCAGGTCACATCTGGAACACTGCATCCAGTTCTGGTCACCACGGGACAAAAATGCTGAGACCCTAGAAAGAGTGCAGAGAAGAGCAGCCAAGATATCAGGGGTTTAGAGGCTAAACCGTTCAATGCCCGGTTAAGGGAACGAAGTTGTTCTGTCCCCGTCCCACACGCACCCACACCAACAGACGTCCAAGAGTTAAAAACCAAACCAGCTGACAAAACCCTTTTCCTTATGATAACGGAACTTGGCAGCAACCTAGTGGCTGCCTGCCAAGAGTTTATTACTCACGAAGGGAAGAGATAACGTCTCTCCGCTTCTGGTACATCAAAGTAAAATGTTCAATAATTACAGAGTAAATCAAGTCCAAATATAATCCAGCAAAGCCTATAGCAAAAGTCCGGCAATGCAGAATGCCGTGGAAGCTTTCAGCTTTGTTTGTCACAAGGTTTGACTGGCCACCACACTCCCTTTTATACCCTGTGGGGTGTGGTCCAGTGACTCAGCCTAATCTTGGGCACGCCTTTTCTTCTGTTGCGCGCGCTTATCTCTGCGATGCTGTTGAGGATCCAGCCAAGACTCATTTCCCTCATCACTGTCCACCTGTGGCTGCGTGGACGTGCTTGGCCCAGGCCCTATCTCTTGCCCTTCGGCGGACACCAAAGGCATTGCCAAAGAGGAAGGTCCTGGAGAGGGAGGCCTTGCCAACTCCTCTCCTTCACTCTCAGAGTCCTCTCCTGCCGATGACACAGGCTCAGGTAACGGAGCCACAACAGAAGTATGTCTAGCCCAGTGAATAGAAAGCTCAGGGGAGATACAATAGTAATCTTTCAATATTTAAGGGCTATCACAGGGAAGAGAGCACTGAGGGCAGGATCAGAATCAGAATCAGAATAGAGCTGGAAGGGGCCTTGGAGGTCTTCTAGTCCAGCCCCCTGCTCAAACAGGAGACCCTGGCCTATACCATAAATTACACCATAAATGTAAATAGTTTTTTTCTCTAATCAAAGAAGTTCATTTAGAAGTTCCATCGTTTTCATACCTTGTAGACAGCGTCTACCAAATACTTAATTCTGAACAGCTATTCATTCTGAACAAGCAATGCCTCTGTGCTGCCTTTTGCAAGGAAAGTCTCCAAGACTACACATTCAACCAGAGAGTCAAAGACCCCAAAAAGCCTGTTTAA